GGGAGGGAGAGCAGATATCCAGGTCTATGAAATGACAGGTGGGGGTGTATTTAACATAATAAACATTTTGATGCAATTTTGCCTAACGTACTTAGTTTTGTAAGGTGTTTCCCCTCCTACAATGCATGTTTATGCTATTTTCACTAGTGTTTCCATTTTTATGCCTACTTTCCCCTGAGATACACATTTCATAGAATCATAGAACTGTAGATAATGATAATAATAATAATAATAATAAAAATAAATAAATAAATAAATAAATAATTTTATTTATACCGTGCCCTTCCTGGTTTAAAAACCGGGCTCAGGGTGGCTAACAGCAAATATAAAACATTGATTAAAATGTGACTTAAAAGCAGCATAAAGCAGCATAAAATACAACATAAAAATGCAGCATCAATATCAATAAAATTCAAAACTTCAGGGGTCATTTTTTTTGCGGGGGGGGGGGACAAAAACCAGTCAGTAGACATCAAATGATCACCAGGGCTAACTGGTCAAGTTGGTCCTACTAGGGCCAGCAAGGAGACCAGGAAAGAATTTAAATCTGAGGTCCCAGAGGGTTATCTAGTCCTACCCCCAGCAATGCAGGAGTCTCAACTAAAACGCCTAGCTGCATTATTAGGTAGGAGGACTGCATTGCAAAACTCAAAAGTGTGAATTTTGAAGGACAGCTGCCTTTAAGTTCACATAATGCATCAGAACGATGCAAACCAGAGAAGATCAAACTAGAATGCAGATGGATTCTGAATGACTGTACTTGTTGATTTTTAAACAAATGGAAAACTGCTGTCCCTTGCAAAGCTTAGGTAGGGCACTGTCCTAGGGACTTCTCAGGTTCCAAAGGTTCTTACCAGGGTTCCTCTTCAGTGAGAAGTCCAGCAGGGGTGCACAGGCTTCTCCCAAAGTTTGACACCCATCACTCAGCTCCCCTGATGATATGCAGCCATGGCAGCAGAAGTGGGCAGGTTCTAGTTCTATTCTTGCTTCAGGTGGTGTGATGACATGACCCATCTGGTGAATCCAGCATGGCCTGCAGAGCTAGAATGTGCACGCTAGAAGATGTGCCAGAATCTGCTTTGCTCATGACTAGGTAAAGGTAAAGGGACCCCTGACCATTAGGTCCAGTTGCGGACGACTCTGGGGTTGCAGTGCTCATCTCGCTTTACTGGCCGAGGGAGCCGGCATACAGCTTCCGGGTCATGTGGCCAGCATGACTAAGCCGCTTCTGGCGAACCAGAGCAGCGCACGGAAACGCCGTTTACCTTCCCACCAGAACGGTACCTATTTATCTACTTGCACTTTGACGTGCTTTCGAACTGCTAGGTGGGCAGGAGCAGGGACAGAGCAACGGGAGCTCACCCAGTCGCAGGGATTCAAACTGCCGACCTTCTGATCGGCAAGCCCTAGGCTCTGTGGTTTAACCCACAGTGCTCATGACTACTGTAAGGCAATTCTGATTAGTGCACTGGTAATAAAATGAGGGGTGCAAATCTCTGTATAAAAATAAAATACTGTTTGGGATATGCAGGGCTTTTCTTTGCAGGGAACTTGATACTGAAAATTCGTGCTTGCACAGTCTTCTTCTTTTGGTGTTTATTGGCACCCAAAAGAACATCAAGGAAAAGGAGCACTTGCTTTACAGCTGTCAAGAGTGTTGGTCCATGCATTGTTTTTAAATTGCAGGCCTCCAGCTTGACAATCCGGCCTGCTACTTATGCTAGTAATGATATCGCTTTTCTATCGTTTGCCCCAAGTGTTTTTCTTGCTGTGGTTTTTTTTTCCTGAAGTGAGTGTCTCACCTGAGCCCGGTAATTCAGTCAGCTAAAGAGTCTCTTTTCCTGCAGATAAGCACATCAGAGAGAATTATCTCTGCGCTGTTATGGAAAAATGGTCTCTAAATTACAACTGTGGAAAATGCTTGGCTCAAAAATCAGTGGGAGTGTTTTGTCTTGTTTTTAGCTTGTATACAAGTATTTTATCTATTTTGTGCCTAAATAGCCAGAGACGATTCCCCGTTCACTTTCCCTGTTTTCCAGCTATATACTAATAAGTAGCAAAGAATGCAGAGATCAAGGTTACTGTTATCTTTGCATACTGTGTTCTGCCCTAGATTCATCATTTATTATTGTTTAGAAAAAACTGGCACATAGAATTTAAAATTTTCTTTATTAAATCTGTATACCACCCTTCATCCAAATGTCTCTGGGAGGTTCACAGCATAAAAACACTAAATAAAAACACTAAATATAAAGTACTTGCAGGACCAGTACCCACTGTGCAGTCTGTGCTGAACAGGAGTGGGGAACCTCAGCCCAAGGGCCACATAATATTCTGAGGGCCACATATCAATGATGCATGGGGCCATAGGCAAAAGTAGGTGGAGCAGTCGATGCAAAATTTTACCTTTGTACAGTAGACTAGTTTCAACAGATACTCCGACATCTTCCATCTATCTTCCATCCATCTGTTCCAGCCAAGCAAAACTGCTTGAAATGAGAAGCAAGGCCAGGGGAGGGGGTGTGGCTTGGAAAGAGTGGGTGTGGCCTGTGGAGAGTTTCTAGGGTCAGAGAGTTTCTAGGCTTGGAGGGCCACATTTGGGCCTGAGGTTGCCCACCTTTGATATATGTGGGATGTGATACATAAGTAGCAGTCAAGTACAACATTCCTTGTTTTCCTAGAGTGTACATGCAGGGGAATGTTTGGTCCAGCCAGTCGAAAACTTTCTGTTTCCTCCTGAATGGGACATAACTTCCTTTGCATGTGACTAGAGGTGGGTTTGACCTTACCTGTCCAGGTAACAAAAAGGACAAGGCATGCAGCACTCTCTCTCTCTCTTTTTGACTTCCTCCGTCGTTGGAGCAGCTTTTTAGCTAGAGACACTTGGAGCCCTGCCAAAAAAAAAAAAATGTAGCATAAGAACGTAAGAAGAATCTTGCTAGATCAGACTCAAGACCTGAATAAGACCCAGATGCCCCTGGGAAGGGTAGAAACAGAACATGAGGTCGATAATTCAGTGGCAGACGTTGGGCTCTCTAATTTCAGTGGCACCCTATGCCATGCTAAAATTTGGCGCATGCCCCGCTTTTCACTCTCTATTTAAAGCTGTGTTATGCTGTGGCAAGGGACGCGGGTGGTGCTGTGGGTTAAACCACAGAGCCTGGGACTTGCTGATCAGAAGGTCGGCGGTTCGAATCCCCACGACGGGGTGAGCTCCCATTGCTCGGTCCCTGCTCCTGCCAACCTAGCAGTTCGAAAGCCCATCAAAGTGCAAGTAGATAAATAGGTACCACTCTGGCGGGAAGGTAAACGGCGTTTCCGTGCGCTGCTCTGGGGTTCACCAGAAGCAGCTTAGTCATGCTGGCCACATGACCCGGAAGCTGTACGCCGGCTCCCTCGGCCAATAAAGCGAGATGAGTGCCGCAACCCCAGAGTCGGTCACGACTAGACCTAATGGTCAGGGTTCCCTTTACCTTTATGCTGTGGCACGCAGTGAGACCAAACAGGTCACGCCACCGTTTCTCCGTAACTGATATTCAGGGGGCAGAGGTGGTCATTTGTTTGTTTGTTTGTTTGTTTATTGACTTGATTTTTATTGGATTGTATAAGCAGGCTGAGACAATGTCAACAGGATGGTAATTGTCCTTACAAAAAAAAGCAGAACATATGGTTGGACAACCTAACAAATTGAAGGAAATGCAGAGTATCGATGCTTTGCAAACATTTAGTCACTGCCGTTAGTAAGAGATTGTTAATTTATATTAAAGTAGAAGCATAAAAATAAATATATATAAATATAGGCCAAGGAAAATGAAGCAGAACAAGAAGTCCCATAATAAAATATCAGTAATCAAAAAATTTATCAAGGAACCATCTTAATCATAGTTCTGTTTTTTACATGTTGCTTTAAATTCAAGTGTGTGGAATTACTCCTTGGCTATGTCCCAAAAGATCTGATTATGTGCAGTCATTATCAGCTCTCTGTTTTAGTCTGGACACTGAGTTCCATTGCCTTGCAGACGGGTCATTTGAATAGGTCTTTGATAGCCATTGGTAAGAAAGTTAATTGGATTAAAGAGGAATTATTAGTACTGTTGACTGTATCTCATACAAGTGCTAATAAAGTCGGACTTTCCTTTCAGGCAGTATTGGACATAGCGAAGGACATTACAAATTCACATGCTGCCTTCAAGCACATGATGCCCATACAATGGCTCTGGGCACGTTTAGAAACCCAGCGCACTACTAAACAGTGACATGATAGAGTCAACGTAAAGTTCTTTCAAGACTTAGTGATCTTCTATGGGAGTGTTTAATAATAATAATAATAATAAATTTATTATTTATTATTTATTTATACTCTGCCCATCAGGCTAGGTTTCCCCAGCCACTCTGGGTGGCTCCCAACAGAATATTAAAAACACGATAAAACATCAAAATCTTCCCCCAACAGGGCTGCCTTCAGATGTCTTCTAAAAGCCAGTTAGTTGTTTATTTCCTTGACATCTGATGGGAGGGCGTTCCACAGGGCAGGCACCACTACCGAGAAGGCCCTCTGCCTGGTTCCCTGTAACCTCACTTTTCACAGTGAGGGAACCGCCAGAAGGCCCTCAGAGCTGGACCTCAATGTCCGGGCAGAACGATGGGGGTGGAGACGCTCCTTCAGGTCTACTGGGCTGAGGCTGTTTAGGGCTTTAAAGGTCAGCACCACCACTTTGAATTATGCTCGGAAGCCAACATAGGTCTTTCAGGACAGGTGTTATATGGTCTCAGTGGCCATACACTGAGTCATCTTCCACTGAAATTAATGGAATCCAAATACAAGATCATAACTTTGTCCTGATTGTGGCCAGTGTTGGTGCAAATTTCAAAATTTCTTAACAGTTCAATCCTGGGCATGATTTTGATGGGGTTTACTGCCAGGAAAGTGTGGATAGGATTGCAGCTTTGATCAGCCTTACAGGTAAAATGTTACCAACCTGCCCATACATCCACACTGGGATTAGCTCAGTTGGTAGAGCATCAGACTCTTAATCTTAGGGTTGTGGGTTCGAGCCCCACATTGGGCCAAAGATCCCTGCATTGCAGGGGTTTGAACTAGATGACTCTTGTGGTCCTTTCTAACACTGATTCCAAGGCAGCAGTAATGGTAGATACTTACTTATGCTGGACAAGGTCTTTGTGGTAGCTATACATCCCTAATATGTTATCAGAATATTTTGTTCATTTTTGATGCATATTGGGTGACAGTATGAAGAAACAGAAGGTGTTGTTTTGGGGGCCGCTAATGAATATGTATTGGCAAATGCACATGAGTGCATAGGGGCAGGTGTCAATGTCTGGCATGAATAGAGAAATTAGTTTATTATCAATACGTTTTCCTGTGTAAAAACTGAGCTGCCGAGCTAATGGAAGCAAAGATGAAATGGCTAATGCAGTCTTCCATTCAGCATTACATGTAAACATTGTTTAGAGCACTTATCTAAGTTGTAGAGATCAAGCATGTTATGCGTTTGAAAATTGTAAAGCATGGAAAGAACACGGATCTGTGGGAAAATCAAAGCACCATTAAGGTTGCCTAACAGACAAAATGGATCTTGGTTTTGCAAATATATCTGATTACAGTTAGAACACACACAAAAACAGCCCCCAAATGAGACCACATCAAAATCCAAATGTCTGAGGAAACAGTCATTGTCAGGGAACTGCCATCGGACGGAAGGGAGGTGAAAGGGCTCACACAGGTTGGGAGAGACGCAGCAGCTGAAGAGGGAACCAGCAGGGAGGTGAAAGGGCTCACACAGGTTGGGAGAGACGCAGCAGCTGAAGAGGGAACCAGCAGGGAGGTGAAAGGGCTCACACAGGTTGGGAGAGACGCAGCAGCTGAAGAGGGAACCAGCAGGGGGAGAGGAGCTGAGCTGGAGGGATGGCTCAGAGACACTTCCAGCGAAAACAGTGGGGAGGTTTCAGGACCTCCTGTAAGAACACCCACTCCTCGCCGGAAACTGTCACGCAGAGAGTCCAGAAGACGTGTTTCCGTTAAGGAGCTTTTATGTTGGAAGCGATTACGAAAGCAACCACTGTCGGAATCTGCTAGTGACTAGAGGAGCCATGTCTGAGGGGCTCCGTCACAGACAGAGGTTTGTGGACTTGAACAAACTCTGAGGGCATGTTTTTGCCTGGCGCCTAAAATCTGACAAGGAAGGTTGGTGCCATTACAATTTAGGAGGAAACAGTATTTTATGGTTTGCTGCAAACTTTGATTAAAAGTTTCTCAGAGGGAGTGTACAAACCATAGGCTTGTGCATGCTCATAATGCCAAAACATGATTTGGTGTTACATCCCAACAACCCAAGAGGCTCTGGTTGCAGATATTGACTTTTTAAAATATATTTTTTACATTATTTGTGACGTTGTATGGTCACCTTGTCAGGCACGTTTAAGCTAGAAAATACAGCTGTGATTAAAAGTGAGATTGCAGTTAAATGAATCAGGTTATAAATCGCAAGTACTTGCCATTTGTGATTGTTCTGAATTTGCTGTGTTGCTTGAATATTGCATTTCATTTCTTTCTCGTGGTGTCCTCCAGCTTTCTCTTTGAAGCCATGGGTTTCCCTGCTGCCTCAAGGTAACTTGCTCTCTTCCTCTGTCAGTTAGTTTGACATGATTCATTGATACATACTGACAGTTCAGAGCACTGGACAGAAATGGTTACTTATGCTCTCATTCTCCTTACTCCATTTTGAATGCAAATATTTTAAACCACATTATGAAGAAAATAGAGGAAAAACTGTTGGAAGTTACCATGCTTTATAGTGTCTTGGATAATGCAATCCCTCTTTACCACTTTACTCCAATAAATGCTTATTTGTTTGGGATTTTGATTAATACTGGATTTGGATTAACACTGTCCAGCAGAGTCCTAACCATGTCTAAAAGGTAAAGGACCCCTGACCGTTACGTCCAGTCTTGAATGACTCTGGGTTACGGCGCTCATCTCACTTTACTGGCCGAGGGAGCTGGCATTTGTCCGCAGACAGTTTTTCCGGGTCAAGTGGCCAGCATGACTAAGCTGCTTCTGGCGAAACCAGAGCAGCACACGGAAACGCCGTTTACCTTCCTGCCAGAGTGGTACCTATTTATCTACTTGCCCTTTGACGTGCTTTCGAACTGCTAGGTTGGCAGGAGCTGGGACCGAGCAACAGAAGCTCACCCCGTCGCGGGGATTCGAACTCCGACCTTCTGATCGGCAAGCCCTAGACTCAGTAGTTTAGACCACAGTGCCACGGCACCCGTATTCCCAGGCAGTATTCCCACAACAAACATTCTGTGAGGTGAGTGGGGCTGAGAGACTTCAGAGAAGTGTGACTGGCCCAAGGTCACCCAGCAGCTGCATGTGGAGGAGCGGGGAAGCGAACCCAGTTCACCAGATTACGAGTCCACTGCTCTTAACCACTACACCACGCTGGCTCTAGGTATGCATGTTTCTCACATGCAGAGGTAGAGGGGAGCAAGGGCCCAAATCAAGATCTTCCCATCCAATATGGAGTCAATCACAGTGCACCACGTTAGGAAAAAATTCACTTGGTTTGTGCCAAGGAGAATGGAGGCAGTTCCCTGCCCAAGTTGGCCAACCATGAAAGGGAATCACATTTTTAAATTCTCCCCCTGTAAAACTTCCTACCCAAAAAGTAAGAATAAAATAAACCTTACAGATCAGGAGATTTATTTATTTATTTTTTGCATAGGGAGAGAATTAAAAAGTGTGATAGCGCTATCTGCAGTTTGAAGTGGTACACTGCTTTCATTATGCTGCATGTGCAATATATTAAAAGGGTTGAGGTTCTTCCAGGTCAGAGGGTGTGACATTTAGCCAGGGTTGAGTCTCAGACTCTCTCACTTCAGAAAGTCAACATAGAATATGCACTTGTGTGCCCTTAAAAAGCAGAGCAGCTAGAACCGCTTGCAGGAATTTTCCTGTTTTGTATTTACTGCTCATTATGTTAATTTGTTCCCTAAAGGTTGGTCAAGCAGGTCATCTCATTAAAAAGGGGGCAAAAAGAACACAGGCATATATAAAAGGACACAAGGCATGATGAGGTGGCTGTGTTAAAAATTTAAAGGCACCCCATGCACCTTCGTTTGGCAAAACATCACGAAAAGGAGACAATGGAGAAATTTCACAGTGGAGTTGGCAGAAAATTGCTAAAGAAATGGGGCAAAATCGCCATCCAGATAACCTGTTTGTCACGCATTGTGATTTGCTTGCACAAACCCTACACAGAGCTTAGGCTGAATCTGTTCTTTATTTAGCATCCATTTTTATTTTTCTGTGGGGAGCCTTTATCACAATGAGCACCCATTTTAATTTGGTTTCATGGTGGTGTTTATGTGCCTTCCCATTAATCATTTGTTAATTTGTCCCACATTTTTCAGCGTAGTTCTCTGTCACTTTTCTAACAGCAAAAGTCAGAGTTTCATCCTCCTCCCACACAGAAAACACACTGGATTTGTTTTTGGTTTTTTTTGCAGCAGAGCACTTTAATGGCTCAGAATGCCCTTGAATCCCTCCTGCAAAATAATGAGAAAGTGGAGGTACCTGAAATGGGTTTGAGAAATGATATGTGATAGACCCACTGCAGAGAGGGTTCCCAAGGAGGAAGTAAAGGTAAAGGGACCCCTGACCATTAGGTCCAGTCGTGGCCGACTCTGGGGTTGCGGCGCTCATCTCACTTTATTGGCCGAGGGAGCCAGCATACAGCTTCCAGGTCATGCGGCCAGTATGACTAAGCCGCTTCTGGCGAACCAGAGCAGCGCACGGAAACGCCGTTTACCTTCCCGCCAGAGCGGTACCTATTTATCTACTTGCACTTTGAGGATGGCAGGAGCAGGGACCGAGCAACAGGAGCTCACCCCATCGCGGGGATTCGAACCGCCAACCTTCTGATCGGCAAGTCCTAGGCTCTGTGGTTTAACCCACAGCGCCACCCGCATCTTAAAACTGCACACGGGACCTGGAGATAGGAGGGGATATGCAGGCAAGATAAGGAGCCAGTCTTATAGATGAGGAACCTTTTTCAACCTGAGGACCACATTCCTTTTGGAGCAACCTTCTGAAGGCCACATGGCAACGGTGGGTGGGACCAGAGGCACAAGTGGGTGGAACAATGAATGTAAATTTTACCTTTGTGCAGTAAGCTGCTTTCTGCACACACACACACACACACACACACCTCCATTTTTCACCCAGGCAAACAAGAATCTTTGAAGTTCAAGGGTACACTCTAACCAGGCAAAAGCTATCAAGGAGTGTACAAAGTAGGGCTAGGGAGTTGTGTGGCCTGGGAAGAGCTTTGAGGGCCATAGAGAGAGGGCTGGTAGTTTACATTTTGCCCACAGACGTGAGGTTCTCCATGCCTGTTGTTGTTACATATTTCTTTATACACCTTTTCCCCTAATGGTACTCAAGGCGGAGTAAGGAGTTGATCTTTCAGCGTGATAGCGCCTAAACTGTGGAACTCCCTGCTCATTGATATTAGACAGGTGCCTTTACAGTGGTACCTCAGGTAAAGAACTTCATTCGTTCTGGAGGTCCGTTCTTAACCTGAAACTGTTCTTATCCTGAGGGACCACTTTAGCTAATGGGGCCTGCTCTTGCCACCCCGCCACTGGAGCACGATTTCTGTTCTCATCCTGAAGCAAAGTTCTTAACCTGAGGTACTATTTCTGGGTTAGCGGAGTCTGTAACCTGAAGCGTATGTAACCTGAAGCGTATGTAACTTGAGGTACCACTGTACCGTACTCGCCACTTGCTAAAAACCTTTTCATTATGCAAGCCTATCCAGCTGTGTAAATCTGACATATATTTTAATGCACACTTTTATTTTATTATATACTTTTTAAAAAAACTGCTGGATATATACAGAGAGAGAGAGAGAGCGGTCAATGTCTTTTAACGTATATTTTATGTAAACCATTTTAAGGTTTTTACAATTAAGAGGGATGCAGATTCTGTTAAAATAAATGAGGTTTGGAAGCCTGTGGAGTCAGACAGAAGAGAGGGCACAGGA